CGGTGAGTGCTGTGCGGTGTGTGCACTGTGTGCTGTCTGCGGTGAGTGCTGTGCGGGGTGCGCTGTGTGCTGTCTGCGGTGAGTGCTGTGCGGTGTGTGCGCTGTGCACTGTGTGCGGTGAGTGCTGTGCGGTGTGTGCGCTGTGCGCTGTGTGCGGTGAGTGCTGTGCGGTGTGTGCGCTGTGTGCTGTCTGCGGTGAGTGCTGTGCTGTGTGGTGTGTGCACTGTGTGCTGTCTGCGGTGAGTGCTGTGCTGTGTGGTGTGTGCTGTCTGCGGTGAGTGCTGTGCGGCGTGCGCGCTGTGTGCTGTCTGCGGTGAGTGCTGTGCGCTGTGTGCTGTCTGCGGTGAGTGCTGTGCGCTGTGTGCTGTCTGCGGTGAGTGCTGTGCTGTGTGGTGTGCGCTGTGTGCTGTCTGCGGTGAGTGCTGTGTGCTGTGCGCTGTGTGCTGTCTGCGGTGAGTGCTGTGCGGTGTGTGCGCTGTGTGCTGTCTGCGGTGAGTGCTGTGCGGCGTGTGGTGTGTGCTGTCTGCGGTGAGTGCTGTGCAGTGTGTGCGCTGTGTGCTGTCTGCGGTGAGTGCTGTGCGGGGTGCGCTGTGTGCTGTCTGCGGTGAGTGCTGTGCTGTGTGGTGTGCGCTGTGTGCTGTCTGCGGTGAGTGCTGTGTGCTGTGTGGTGTGTGCTGTCTGCGGTGAGTGCTGTGCGGTGTGTGCACTGTGTGCTGTCTGCGGTGAGTGCTGTGCGGGGTGTGCGCTGTGTGCTGTCTGCGGTGAGTGCTGTGCGGTGTGCGCTGTGTGCTGTCTGCGGTGAGTGCTGTGCGGTGTGTGCACTGTGTGCTGTCTGCGGTGAGTGCTGTGCGGTGTGTGCACTGTGTGTTGTCTGCGGTGAGTGCTGTGCGGTGTGTGCGCTGTGTGCTGTCTGCGGTGAGTGCTGTGCGGCGTGTGCACTGTGTGCTGTCTGCGGTGAGTGCTGTGCGGGGTGCGCTGTGTGCTGTCTGCGGTGAGTGCTGTGCGGTGTGTGCGCTGTGCGCTGTGTGCGGTGAGTGCTGTGCGGTGTGTGCGCTGTGCGCTGTGTGCAGTGAGTGCTGTGCGGGGTGTGCGCTGTGTGCTGTCTGCGGTGAGTGCTGTGCTGTGTGGTGTGTGCTGTCTGCGGTGAGTGCTGTGCTGTGTGGTGTGTGCTGTCTGCGGTGAGTGCTGTGTGGTGTGCGCTGTGTGCTGTCTGCGGTGAGTGCTGTGTGGTGTGCGCTGTGTGCTGTCTGCGGTGAGTGCTGTGCGGGGTGCGCTGTGTGCTGTCTGCGGTGAGTGCTGTGCTGTGTGCTGTCTGCGGTGAGTGCTGTGCTGTGTGGTGTGCGAGCTGTGTGCTGTCTGCGGTGAGTGCTGTGCGGTGTGTGCACTGTGTGCTGTCTGCGGTGAGTGCTGTGCGGTGTGTGCACTGTGTGCTGTCTGCGGTGAGTGCTGTGCGGGGTGCGCTGTGTGCTGTCTGCGGTGAGTGCTGTGCGGTGTGTGCGCTGTGCACTGTGTGCGGTGAGTGCTGTGCGGTGTGTGCGCTGTGCGCTGTGTGCGGTGAGTGCTGTGCGGTGTGTGCGCTGTGTGCTGTCTGCGGTGAGTGCTGTGCTGTGTGGTGTGTGCACTGTGTGCTGTCTGCGGTGAGTGCTGTGCTGTGTGGTGTGTGCTGTCTGCGGTGAGTGCTGTGCGGTGTGTGCACTGTGTGCTGTCTGCGGTGAGTGCTGTGTGGTGTGCGCTGTGTGCTGTCTGCGGTGAGTGCTGTGCGGGGTGCGCTGTGTGCTGTCTGCGGTGAGTGCTGTGCTGTGTGGTGTGCGCTGTGTGCTGTCTGCGGTGAGTGCTGTGTGCTGTGCGCTGTGTGCTGTCTGCGGTGAGTGCTGTGCGGTGTGTGCGCTGTGTGCTGTCTGCGGTGAGTGCTGTGCGGCGTGTGGTGTGTGCTGTCTGCGGTGAGTGCTGTGCGGTGTGTGCGCTGTGTGCTGTCTGCGGTGAGTGCTGTGCGGGGTGCGCTGTGTGCTGTCTGCGGTGAGTGCTGTGCTGTGTGGTGTGCGCTGTGTGCTGTCTGCGGTGAGTGCTGTGTGCTGTGTGGTGTGTGCTGTCTGCGGTGAGTGCTGTGCGGTGTGTGCACTGTGTGCTGTCTGCGGTGAGTGCTGTGCGGGGTGTGCGCTGTGTGCTGTCTGCGGTGAGTGCTGTGCGGTGTGCGCTGTGTGCTGTCTGCGGTGAGTGCTGTGCGGTGTGTGCACTGTGTGCTGTCTGCGGTGAGTGCTGTGCGGTGTGTGCGCTGTGCGCTGTGTGCGGTGAGTGCTGTGTGCTGTGTGGTGTGTGCTGTCTGCGGTGAGTGCTGTGTGCTGTGTGGTGTGTGCTGTCTGCGGTGAGTGCTGTGCGGTGTGTGCACTGTGTGCTGTCTGCGGTGAGTGCTGTGCGGTGTGTGCGCTGTGCGCTGTGTGCGGTGAGTGCTGTGTGCTGTGTGGTGTGTGCTGTCTGCGGTGAGTGCTGTGTGCTGTGTGGTGTGTGCTGTCTGCGGTGAGTGCTGTGCGGTGTGTGCACTGTGTGCTGTCTGCGGTGAGTGCTGTGCGGTGTGTGCGCTGTGCGCTGTGTGCGGTGAGTGCTGTGTGCTGTGTGGTGTGTGCTGTCTGCGGTGAGTGCTGTGTGCTGTGTGGTGTGTGCTGTCTGCGGTGAGTGCTGTGCGGTGTGCGCGCTGTGTGCTGCGGTGAGTGCTGTGCAGTGTGCGCGCTGTGTGCTGTCTGCGGTGAGTGCTGTGCGGTGTGTGCACTGTGTGCTGTCTGCGGTGAGTGCTTTGTGGTGTGTGGTGTGTGCTGTCTGCGGTGAGTGCTGTGCGGTGTGTGCACTGTGTGCTGTCTGCGGTGAGTGCTGTGCGGTGTGTGCACTGTGTGCTGTCTGCGGTGAGTGCTGTGTGGTGTGTGCTGTGTGCTGTGTGCGGTGAGTGCTGTGCGGTGTGTGCGCTGTGTGCTGTCTGCGGTGAGTGCTGTGCGGTGTGTGCACTGTGTGCTGTCTGCGGTGAGTGCTGTGCGGTGTGTGCACTGTGTGCTGTCTGCGGTGAGTGCTGTGCGGTGTGTGCGCTGTGTGCTGTCTGCGGTGAGTGCTGTGTGCTGTGTGGTGTGTGCTGTCTGCGGTGAGTGCTGTGCGGTGTGTGCGCTGTGTGCTGTCTGCGGTGAGTGCTGTGTGCTGTGTGGTGTGTGCTGTCTGCGGTGAGTGCTGTGCAGTGTGCGCGCTGTGTGCTGTCTGCGGTGAGTGCTGTGCGGTGTGCGCGCTGTGTGCTGTCTGCGGTGAGTGCTGTGCGGTGTGCGCACTGTGTGCTGTCTGCGGTGAGTGCTGTGCGGCGTGTGCTGTGTGCTGTCTGCGGTGAGTGCTGTGCTGTGCGGTGTGTGCACTGTGTGCTGTCTGCGGTGAGTGCTGTGCTGCGTGTGCACTGTGTGCTGTCTGCGGTGTGAGTGCTGTGCGGTTTGTGCGCTGTGTGCTGTCTGCGGTGAGTGCTGTGCGGTGTGTGCGCTGTGTGCTGTCTGCGGTGAGTGCTCTGCGGTGTGTGCGCTGTGTGCTGTCTGCGGTGAGTGCTGTGCGGTGTGTGCACTGTGTGCTGTCTGCGGTGAGTGCTGTGCGGCGTGTGCACTGTGTGCTGTCTGCGGTGAGTGCTGTGCAGTGTGTGTGCTGAGTTGTTGGAAGGGAGCTTCGGGGAGGAGGAATGCAGGAGACGGCAGTGTCACCACTGGTTTTCCTGGCCGTCATGTAAGGCAAAGCTATTCTTACGCCAAATACAGCAGTTTTTACTAAATAAATGCTCCTCAGTTTGTCGTATGCCTTCGGTTTATTCCAGAATTCTGAAACAATTTTTATTTTGCAATAAGTATTTTGTTCTGTTTATAGTTCTTTTGGGGGCGAGGATTTGCCAGTCTTCTTACCCACCAATCCTGGAACTCAGTCATTTAATTTTTACCTGAGTTGGTTTTTTTCTGAGCTAATGGTTTCATGTGTATGGGTCTGTGTTATCTGCCCAGGGTTGCATGACAAGGTATTCCAAAAAGGCGACCTCACACGACAGAGTCTGTTCTCACGGCTCAGAAGCTGGAAGACTGAAACGAGGAGCCGGCGGGCTCTCCTCGTGTCTGCACTTTGTCTTCCCTGTGTGTGTCCGTTAGTGATTTAAATAACAGGGACAGAGTCTTCATTTTTAAAACGATAGCAGCTTCTTCCTTGGTATGTGCGGAGCGCTTTCTCTCTGAGAGACCGGTGTGAGGATACGCGGCACCACCATTCCTGTCAGCGCCCTCCTGGAGGCCTGGATAGTCCCGTGCGGAGGGGAGGGGAAAGGAGGGATGGAGGGAGAGGAGAAGGGGAGAAAGAAGTAGCAAAAGGAAGGAAAAGCCACAGGATTGAAGAAGCCTAGGCCTGCCTCACAGATTAGGCTCTGCAGCAGTGGTTCTCAACCGCTAGCAGGGTTTCCTGAGACCATCGGAAAACACAGATATTTACATTACAGTTCATTAACAGTAGCAAAATTACAGTCATGAAGTAGCAACGAAAGTAATTTTATGGCTGGGGGTCACCACAACATGAGGAGCTGTATGAAAGGGCCGCGGCATTAGGAAGGTGGAGAACCACTGCTAAGTAGAAATAAGTGCATAATTCCTGTCGTGTAGTAAGATGCTCAGAGCTGAATGGCGATTCTGATTTCTTAATGTAATTCAGTGTTGGTGTACATAAAAGGGGATGTTCCTTGTTAGCATTACCACTTCTATTAAAAATTTGGACAGAATAAGATAACTTCTCTTATTCTAAGAAGCCCTGGCTATAACATTTATTGTATTGGGGCAAATTATAACTCAAAGCACATGTTTGTTAAAAATTTCCCTGTTTGGAAGTTGATGCATCAGAGGAATGGAGAGGAGCCCAGCGTGTGGGTGCTGCCCGGCGTGCAGGGCCGTTTGGGCAGCTGGTGCCAGGTGACCAGGACCAGCGGGCGGGCACAGCGGCACCTCTTCTGTGTCTTCCAGACCCAGCTCCCTGCAAAGACCAGTCGTCCTTGAAGGAAAAGCCCGGCGCCCCGGCGAGTGTACAGCCTCCGAAGCCACCGGGCTCCGGGGACACCCCCGCGGGCACACAAGCCCCTTCAGTGCCACCCTCCCCTCCTGTGACTGCTGTGCCCCAGGACACGGCCGCACCAGCTGCTGGCCCCAGGCCAGAGCCGGCAATGGGGGCTGCCGTGCAGGCAGGCGCCCCCGTGACCTCTCAGGGGATGGCCAACGAATGTGCTGCACCCCAGCCCCTGGCACAGACTCAGGACGCACAGCTTGCTGCAAGGCCCCTGGATGTGGCCCCAGGGCCCTGCGCCTCCCCTCCAGCGGCCCCCCATCACCCTGCAGGCCTCGGGGAGCCCGCCTCAGCCAAGGAGGCCGACACCCGGATGGATGCCCCGCCAGCTCCGGCCCCTGTGCCCAGTGCCTCCGGCGAGACCCCTCAGCCTGCCCCGGGCCCGTCCCTCCCTCCTCTCCCCAATGCGGTGGGAGCTGTCAGCCTGGCTGCCCCCCAGCTCCCAAACTCTCCTCTGGGGCCCAGCACCCTCCCCCAGCCGCTGTCAGCCTTGGAGTCGGACGGGGAAGGGCCACCTCCCAGGGTGGACTTCGTGGACAGCACCATCAAGAGCCTGGATGAGAAGCTGCGGACTCTGCTCTACCAGGAGCACGTGCCCACCTCCTCCGCCTCGGCCGGGACCCCGGTGGAGATGGGAGACCGAGACTTCACCCTGGAGCCCCCGAGAGGAGACCCGCCCTGCACAGAGACCTCCATGGGGGACCTGGCCCTGCCAGCCCAGCTGGTGGTGAGTGCTGGCCGCAGAGGTTCCCTCCTGGTCAGGGGTCTGTGCGGGGTGGGCCAGCTCTGCCTCCCTCCAGCCGGCTGCCTGCTCGGAGGCTCACCTCTGAGCCCGACCTGCCCGGGGTGTTTTGCAACCAGTGGCAGTCTGGGGGCCGCGGGGTGTGAGTGTGTGAGCCAGGACCCACTGGCCAGTGTGTGGAGGGAGCGCCTGGGCCGGCCGGCTCCAGCCTGGCAGAGACAGCGGGTGGGAGAGCGGCACAGTTAGCTTCAGGGATGGCAGCAGTGAGGCTTCCGGCTCCTTCCTCTCTGTTTCTTCCTGCAGCTGGATCAGCCCGGACTGGCGCTGGGGCCGGCAGCTGCACTGGAGCAGACCACAGCCTCGCCAGGGACAGGTGACGAGCCAGTGGCCGGCCCGCCCCAGGCCTGAGGGCACGGTCACCCCCCTCCCTCCACAGCGCCTCACATGGGGACCAGACAGGGCAAAACCCGTCATGGGGCCTTAGCGCATGCTTGTGTGCCTGAGAGAGTCCATGTCTGTGGGCACGGCAGGCCCTCCTCAGCGCAGCCGGCTCCTTCCAGCCAGGGTGTTGTCACGTGTGGGTGCGGCTCAGGCCAGGCCAGGCCCCCACACAACAGCTCGCTCTACCTGGTCATTCACTCCGCACAGTAGCTCTGGGCGTGCGGCTTAGCAATAGCAGGCTGTGACCTGCTCTGTATGGCACAGGCAGCCTGGCATGGCATTCCCGACACAGGCAGCCGGGCACAGCTGGATCTGCACCTACCCGGGCTGCATGAGACCCGTCCGTTACCAGACCCATCAGGGAGACAGGTGGCACCATCAGTGGTAGAGGCACAGGAGACAGGTGACACCATTGGTGGTAGAGATGGCAGAGAGAGAGGTGGCACCATCGGTGGTAGAGATGGCAGAGAGAGGTGGCACCATCGGTGGTAGAGATGGCAGAGAGAGGTGGCACCATCGGTGGTAGAGATGGCAGAGAGAGGTGGCACCATCGGTGGTAGAGATGGCAGAGAGAGGTGGCACCATCGGTGGTAGAGATGGCAGAGAGAGGTGGCACCATCGGTGGTAGAGATGGCAGAGAGAGGTGGCACCATCGGTGGTAGAGATGGCAGAGAGAGAGGTGGCACCATCGGTGGTAGAGATGGCAGAGAGAGGTGGCACCATCGGTGGTAGAGATGGCAGAGAGAGAGGTGGCACCATCGGTGGTAGAGGCTGCAGGGAAACAGGTGGCATCATCGGTGGTAGAGGCGCAGGAGAGAAATGGCACCATTGGTGGTAGAGATGGCAGGGAGAGAGGTGAAACCTCGGTGTTAGAGATGGCAGGAGACAGGTGGCACCATCGGTGGTAGAGGCGCAGGAGAGAGGTGGCACCATCGGTGGTAGAGGTAGCACAGACTCAGGATGCCCAGCTTGCTTCAAGGCCCCCTGCACCTCCCCTCCAGACGGGAGCCCGCCTCAGCCAAGGAGGCCGACACCCGGATGGATGCTGCCCTTCCAGCTCCGGCCCCTGTGTCCAGTGCCTCTGGCGAGACCCCTCAGCCTACCTCGGCCCGTCCCTCACTCCTCTCCCCATGGCGGGCAGGTGACCTGCTGAGACCGAGGGGGTTGGGCTGACACCTCCCTCCCAGGCTCCAGGGCGCCCCTGTGACGGCGGGAGGTTGGAACAGCTGCTCGCTGTGGCCCCCTCCCTCCCGCCATGCCCTCCCCGTCACCCAGCCTGAGCCCGAATGATGGTGTCCCTGTCCCAGCAGCTCCTGTGAGCGGCCCGCGGGGCCCCAAGGGAGGCCGGGCAGCCTCGGGCTCACCGGCAGCAGCCAGGGCCCCTCAGGTAGGTCGTTCTCCGCGCGGGTCCGGAGGGCTCGGCTGGCGGTGGAGCCTGCTCTCTGCTGGCGTTCGTGTGGCACCGATTTTTTTCTGTTCCCCAAGGATGCCCCCACGCCCACCATCCCTGTGCATCTGGAGCCCGCAGACCAGCAAGGCCCCCCCGGGGTGCTGGCCCGGGACGGCCAGGCCAGCGCCCCCCAACCCCCTGGTGCTCCGGCCTCAGGGTCCCCCCGGAAGCAGCCGGGGCAGCGGGACGGCGGCTCTCCAGCCAAGACCGTGGGCCGGTTCTCGGTGGTCAGCACCCAGGACGAGTGGACCGTGGGCTCCCCGCACAGCCTGCGGTACTCGGCCCCGCCCGACGTGTACCTGGAGGAGGGGCCCGGCAGCCCGGGCGTGAGGCTGGCCCTGCGGCGGGCGCAGACGGCCTCCGCCCTGGAGGTCTGCCAGGAGCCCCCGTCCAGCGACTCGGGGGACGAGCGCGCGCCCGGGAGGCCGCCGGCGCCCAAGCCGGGCGCCCTGCCCCGCAGCAGCGGCAGCTCGGCCGGCGACTTCGTGAGGAAGGCCGCGGCCCTCCTGCACAGGTCGGCGGGGGCTGGCCCCCCGGGCCCCGAGGCCCCCCGCAGGGCGGGCGTGAAGGTCCCCACCATCAGCGTGACCTCCTTCCACTCCCAGTCGTCCTACATCAGCAGCGACAACGACTCGGAGCCCGAGGACGCGGACATCAGGAAGGAGCTGCAGAGTCTGCGAGAGAAGTAGGTCCCGGGGGCGGGGCGGGCGGGGGGCGGAGGCCCAGGCTGTGCCGTGCACCCGGGCCTGGGCTGGGTGCCGGGCAGCGATCGCCGCTGTGCTGCTGGCCCGGCCCTGGTCTGGGGGCGGTGCCTCTTCACCCCATGGCAGCCCCTCCTGTGGCCTCAGCAGGACAGCGGGTGTCGCCCAGACCAGGCCCCTCACGCTGCCTCTGAGGTGGGGCCACCGCCTGGTCAGGCCCCAGCCAGCTGCACCCGGCCCCCTGGGCAGCAGGACCCACGTGGTGGGAGAGGCTGGCGTCCTGGACAGAAGGCTGAGGGCAGAGCCCTCTGGGGTGGACCCAGGAGCCTGGCCAGCCTCTCCTGCTCCTCCCTCGGGCCCCCTCTGGTGAGGAGGAGGCTCGCCGGCCGAGCACCAGGGCCCTGGCAGCTGCCGGGTCCTCCCCACGGTCTGCACGAGGCAAGCCCGTCTTGGTGCTGTCCACCGGTGGAGGCCGGGAGGGGGCAGGAGAGCTTGCCTGCCCTGCCCCGACCTCCCACCCCCGACCCTCCCCCTGACCCCTGACCCTCGATCCCCACCTGTTGAGGGGCCAGCCCCTCTCCCTCCCCTTCGTCCCAGTCCTGGGCACCCGATCCTTGTTGCTTGCTGCCTGGTGCCTTGTGTGGGACCCCTGGGCACCCGTGGGGGTCCAGGTGCTGCCTCCCACCTGCATTTGCAGTTCTTAGGACCCTGGAGCCCCATCATCTGAGAGGCCCACTTTGGGCAGGAGTTTCAGGGTGCGGGTCTCCCTCAAATCCTGAATCAGACCTTCCAACTGACCCGGTATCTCTCCCCCACTCCAGCCAGCTTCCCCCTTGAAACTTCACACTCTGTGAATCTAATCGGATGCAATAGCACTTTTCTGATTAGAGAACCATTTTTCTAAAACAAAGCTGGCGGGCGTTGAAATCACAATAGGAAAAATTAGAACTTCTTTTCTTCTGCCTCGCCACGAAAACACCTGTTTCCCAGCCGCACGCCGAGGGGTGGGCGCGGCTGCCACAGCCAGTGCTGGCTCTCAGCAGAGGCTTCCACCTGTGCGGCCTGCCGGTCCGCTCTGCCCCGGGGCGGTGCCCGAGCTGGGAGCCCTGGCAGGGCGGGGCTGGCTGACCACGTGTCTCCACTCGCCCTGCGGGCCCTCTGGATGCCCTGGCGCTTGCTCCCTCCCTCGCGGGGAGAACACAGCTGGTAAGCGAGGCGCCTCCCGTGCCGAGTGCCAGCGTTCTTGTTCTCACCTGTGATTGTGAGCATAAATGTGTGCTGGTGTCCATACCCAGCCTCCCCCCAAACCAAAAACAGCCCGCCGAGTCCGAGCCTGGAGGGAACACATCTGTGCAGCTGGTCAGGGCCTGTGATTCCCACGCGGCTGACCTGTAAACAAAAACATTGGGATAAATGCCGCACTGCCCGTGCCTGCAAGCAGCCTGCCCCACACTCCTGTCCGCCTTGGGCCCGAGGCCACCCAGCCCTCCTCTGCCCCCTGCAGGCACCTGCGGGAGATCTCAGAGCTGCAGAGCCAGCAGAAGCAAGAGATCGCAGCGCTGTATCACCGCCTGGGCAGGCCCCTGCCCCCGAACCTGGGGCTCCTGCACACGGCCCCACCCGCCGGCCGCCGGAGGAAGGCCAGCAGGAGCAAGCTGAAGGCCGGGCGGCTGCTGACCCCACTGGTGCAGCAGCTCAAGGTCGTGGCCTCCAGCACAGGTCGGCCCTGTGCCTGCTGGGGGCTGGGCTGGGGGCTGGGCAGGTGCACGCAGGCACCAGACCTGGAAGGGCACTTCTCCACCCCTCACGCGAGTGGGACCATGGGGCTGTGGCCAGAGGAAAGGACGGAGCGGAGCGGCAGGTCTGCTCTGCTCAGGAGCTACAGGGAGGGAGGGAAAGAAGGAGGGGGAGGGAGGAGGGAGGGAGGAGGCTCGGGCTCTCCAGAGCCGGGGCTGATCTTCCCCATGGCTGTTTCCTGGTGTTTCTTAGACATTTGTCACCTTTGGGCAGCCTTGGGGGAGGGGAAGGGTGGTGAGAGCCCAGCACTGAGGCGCCCGCGGTGGAGACCAGTGAGTGGAAACGCTCAGTCGCACCAGGTGGGAAGCGGCCACAAGCCCTCCCTCTGGGTGTCACGTGGCACCGGCAGGGTGCGGGCACAGGTGCGGAGCCGCCGGCCATGTCTCTCAGTGGTGAGGACTCAGTGGTGAGGAGGAGGCTCGCCAGCCGAGCAACCAGGGCCCTCGGAGCTGCCATGTCCTTCCCACGGTCTGCACGAGGCAAGCCCGTCTCGGTGCTGTCCACCGGTGGAGACTGGTCATTCTTCAGTCCTCCCAACACCCACGTGGGTCACCAGCCACACGCCATCCTGCAGGCCTCGGCATCCCCAAGGTCACCCAGCAACGAGCAGAGGGCCGCGCCCCGTGGGGGCCGGCTGCCCTCGCGCCTCATGGCCCTGTCCCTTCTCCCACCCAGGTCACTTGTCAGACTGCAGCCGCGCCCCTCTGGCCCAGGACCCCGCCAGGGCCGGGGCCGGGCCCACCACAGCGGCAGACTCCGGTGGGAAGGCAGTGCAGACCCAGCAGCCTTGCTCCGTGCGGGCCTCCTTGTCTGCAGACATCTGCTCCGGCTTAGCCAGTGACGGGGGCGGAGCCCACGGCCCAGGTGATTCCCAGCTTGCCCGCCGCTGAGCATGTGCCAGCCACGCAGGGCGTGTGGTGTGGTGGGGACGTGAGCTGTGGCCGAGGCTGCCAATGGCTTCGGACAGAGGCGATCCCAGAGCAGCCTCTGGCTGGAGAGTGGGTGGCCACCGTCAGTCTTGCTTTAAGTGGCTCAGAGGGAGGCGTGCTTGGCTAGAGCAACCTGGGGAAGGACTCCTGAGGTCAGACGTGGCGTCTGCTGTGTGGTGTGTGCCGGGTGCCAGGCACTGCCCGCTCTGCCCTGCCCCGTTCCCTGCTAAACATGGGTGCAGAGGGCCGCGGGGGGCCAGGGCGCAGCTCTGGAGCTGGGAGTCGGGCCCTGAGGTGGAAGGGCGTGGACACAGCGGCTGTGCGATGAGGCACTTCTCCCACGCCGTCTCTGCAGAGGCGTGGGGACCGCAGCCACGTCCGGCCCCTGCCCTGCCCCGCACGCGCTCCTGGGCCTGCCTCTCTCCGCTCCAGCGCTTCCTCCTTTCCATTGCGTGGTCAGTGGCTGCGGTCCTCGGGGCTGGGCGAGTGCAGCCATGGATGCTAAGTGGCGAGGCTGGTGTGGCTGGTGGTGCAGGCGCAGCCCGAGACTGTACTTGATGCCTGTCTCTGTTCTCTTCCCTCTATATTCACTTGCAGGCTGGACGGTTTTCCACCCAACGTCTGAGAGAGTGGCCCATAAGTCTAGTAGCAAACCTCGCGCTCGATTCCTCAGTGGACCCGTGTCTGTGTCCATCTGTCTGTATTTGTTCTTTTGTATTTTATCACCTCCCAGCCCTTGGTTCTCCCTCCCCGCTCCCTGTCTCCATCACCTCCATATGCTTTATAGGATGCCTCCCCTACGCCATTGAGCTCATTGATTTAATATCGAAACAGAGCCTTGTCCACACCCACCCATCTGGCCCCAGAGAGCACGGAGCTGCTCGCGGCTCCTGCCGGCACTGGCGGCACATGCAGTGGCCCCCCGCCCACACAGACCCGCCCGGCCCAGGCGCGCTGCACTTCTCTCGTCACCTTGTATTCTCGTGACGTTGGACATACTTTTATTTCTGTGGCTATTGTGACAAATACACACGTCCACTGGCCCAGTTCCAGCCTTCTCTCCATGCGTGACGTGCTTCACACGTGTCTGGACTTTGAAGACATGCATGTGAACGAGATAGTGCTGGCAGGTCACCGTAAAAGGCCCGTGTCACAACATGCAGAACCCCCGCCCCTGCATGCGGACATGGTTCACCCAGCCCCTCCGAGGCCTCTAGCTCCTGCACTGCACCCGGTGGCTCTCCCTGGCCTCGGGCTAGCGAGGCAGCCGGCTGTGCAGCCCACAAGCCCCTGACAGCACTCAGTCCCAGCCGCCCACGCCCCGGTGCCCTCCTGGGACCCGGACATGTGCCTGGGAATGGGGTACCTGCTCAGGGCTCTCCCAAATTGTTTCTCATCCCTCAGATGGATTGGCAAGGGAATCAAAAGCTGTGGGCTTCTAGATTTTTGTTTTTAACAGACAAATTAAGCTTTTTGCCAATTGGATTGGACATGCTGGTGTGGGCGTGTGGTCTTTTGCTTGTACAATAAAGATACATTGTGCTTGCTGGGACCTGAGGCCACGCCCACAGGAGGCACCCATCCCCCCAGAGGGCACGGCTCCTCCCAGGCAGCAGGCGGGTGGCAGGCGGGGACCAGGGAGAAGGGCTCTGTTCATGGACAGATGCTGGACAGATGGGGGGCGCGGGCTGCTGGGTAGTTGCCGGGTCAGGTGGGGGCCAGCTCTCCTCAGTCCTCGCCGTGGCGCGGGAGCTGCGGTGTGAGCACATGGGTCCCCAGGCGTCTCCTGGCAGAGGGCCTTGGTCCCTGCGGGAGGGCCGCCGCGCAGATGGGTGGTCCATGCGAGCAGGGGTTCCCCAGGGCCACGCCAGCCTCAGGCCATCACCACTCCCTGCACAGCCCTCTGGTTCTGCTTTTAGGGGTTTCCTTTTTTTTTCACTGTAACTTATTTTCCAACATAAAAGACAAACTTGAGGCTGAGCAGGGACCGGAGACTAGGTTTTGCTGCTGCCCTGGCCTGGGGGGAGGAGTGTGAGGCACAGGCAGAGCGGACGGGCCTGGCCCGGGGTAGGGGGAGGTTTCAGGGGCACCCACTGCCGGCTGGCCTGCTCCCTCGGCTGCTGCGAGGGCGATGATCCTGCTGTTTGCACAGCCCAGCCCGTGTTCAGGCCGTGACGTGGTCCCCTGGCTCAGGCTCTGTCTGGACTTGAAGACATGCTATGAGTTTCTAGATTGTTGTTTTGTGGGGCGAGGAGCGAGCAGCCTGCACTGGGCCCTCTTGTCGGGGGCATGAAGCCGTGAGCTCCCAGCTGGGGCTGCAACACCCAGGACCCCTCCCTTCGGTGCTGGTCCCCCCCTCGGCTCCGGGAGCTCCTGTCAGCAGGTGCCTGGTGACCAGGGGCCCACAACAGGGAAGGACATTGGTCTGGCAGCTGAGAGGTTGGTCACGGGGAGGTGGAGCAGAGCTGGAGTCCGGGTGCGAGCCCGCCTAAGCCGGAGGGTAGCAGAGGGTTTCGGTTCTCCCCCTAAAAGGAACAGGAGATGAGTCTTTGGAAAAGTCAGCCGTGTGTGAAGTTCAGAAGCTCCCTGGACTCAGAGATGAGGCAGGTGGCGATGGTGGTGCCTCCGCAGAGCTGTGGGCAGTGCCAGGCGCTGGAAGGCGGTGCCTGGGGGAGAGGTGGCCAGGCCTGGGCCGAGAGCAAGGCGGGCGCCCGGGGCGGGCAACCCTGCCGACTCCCGAGCTGCTGCTCCCCCTGCAGGCCCCGGCCCGGTGGACGGCGGGGCCGCCCTTCGGGCTGCGGAGCAAAGGTGTCCTGGTGCCCTGCTGTCAGCCGGGCCCTCTCCTCCCTCCTCGGGGACGTCGTGTGCTCCGGGCCTTTGGCTCATGCCCGGTTTCCTCGCTGCGGCAAGGTTATCTCTGGGGCCTGAGGCTCACTGGCATGTTCCCTCCGGCCTCCTGGGTGGCTCTGCTGTGGGGGCTGTGGGAGAGGCCCGGGGGCAAGGAGGAGAGCCTCCATGCAGCCTGCAGGCTGTCCGAGGGCTGGCCTGGGCCTGGGCCTGTGTGGCCCAGACGCTGCCGCAGGGCCTGCTCCACAGCCAGTGGGACTTGCCTCCGCTGGGAGGTTGGTGGCTCAGTCCACAGACACCAGAGCAGTGCATGGGCGCCACCTCGTGTCCTCTCTGCCAGACCCAGTGCGCACAGCCACTGTCGGGGTGCACCACCCCTCAGCGACGTGCCTCATCGGGCGGTGGGCAGTGGGGAGCCCCACAGGGCCGGCCTCCGACAGCACCTGAGCATCATCCCCCCCACCCCACCCCCGTTTATAAGCGCCCCCTCAGGCACCGGCGAGGGGAGGCATCGCCTGGCAGCCAGCCAGAGGCCGGGGAGGTGGAGGTGGCGCCCAGCCGGCTGGCTGTCCATGCCAGGAGCAGCCCTGTGCCTGTGCCGGGGTGAGCGGGCGAAGGCGGGCCCTGGCACCCCTGCCGCCACGCGCTGACAGAGCAGCCGCGGCCTCCGTGCTGCCCGCAGCACGGACCTTCCTGGTGTCCTGGGCCGGAGGCTGGCTCCTCCTCCCGGGGCCTTGGCCGAGGACGGAGTCCTGCAGGGACACCTCTCTCCACAGGAAACTAGGGGTGGGGCTGGTCTGCTTTTCACCCCGACACCCCGAGGCCTCCCTCCTCGGGTTCCCTGTGGGGCCTGTGTCGGCCCCACGGCTCCTGGCGCCTCGCTGTGCCGAAGCCTGCGGCGGAGCCAGGCGCACCACAGTGCATGTGGGCGTGGCGAGCAGCCAGGGCGGGCGGCGCAGGCCGGGGACAGGCCGAGGGCCAGGGCTGTGGGCGCCAGCACCCGTGGCCCAGCGGCGTGAGCGCAGACATGGCTGGAAGTCCCTCGGAGGGCCCGGCTGTCTGTGCTCGGCTTTCCCTGCCTGTCAGGCGTGGGGCGGGCCTGTGTGGCTCCACCTGAGCACGGTGGCCGTGGCCGCCGGCCCGGGTTCCCGTGAGGTCCCTGGGCTTCCACTGCAGACCTCCGGGTCTGAGCCGGCACCCGGCCGCGGTGGCCGTCCAGGAGGACGGAGCCAGCCCTGCCCCAGAACGGCGGCCTGGCGGCCGCTCAGAACCCACTGGGCTGTGGAAACCCGGCTGGTGTTCAGGCCCGTGTCCTGGGTCACGCTGGGGCCTGCTACAGGCTAGGCGCTAAGGCTCCCCCCTCCCCCGAGAGCATGACAGGGTGCACAGACAGGCTCACCCGGGCGGGGGTCTGGCTGTGCTTGTCCCTCTGCTTTTCTGTGCTCCTTGGAGCCGCAGGATGAAGGGAGCCCGGCGCGCTGTGCGGGCCTCCGGGGCGCGTGCTGGGGCTGCAGCCCCGAGTGGCGTGGGTGTGCCAGGGCCTGCTGCTGTGAGGGCCGTGGCGGGAGCCAGACCCTCCCTGCACAGCCTTGCTGAGTGACCTTGGGGATGGCCGAGCCCCTGTGTCCCACCTCAGCTCCGGACTCCCTCTCCGCTCCCTCTCCGCTCTCTGGGGCAGACTGTCAGGGCGGCCGACGCTGAGGTCAGCGTGCGCCGTCCGTCCGTCCGCACAGACGGGCCTGCAGTGCTGGCGGGGCCGCCTGCCTGCCTGCCGGGAGGAGACACCAGACCCAGTGGAAGAGAATCGCCCCTGCTCTCCCTCCCCAGACAGGCCTGCCTGCCCTCCTCCCGCGCTGGCCTCAGCCCGCAAAGCAATGTATCTTTTTGCACTCGGAAAGCCCCATGGCCTGAGGGCGGCCGGCTCCAGAGCCAGCTCACACCTGGCGGCCGGGGCCTCCCAGAGCCCTGCCTTAGAGCCGAGTGGTGAGCGCGGCCCTTTTCTTGGGTTGGTTTCTTTTTCTTTCCTTTTTTGGGATGTGTTTCTAGAGATGCACTCTTCTCTCTGAACGTGGGCTTGGCCTGCACCTCCGCCCTCAGCGAGCTCACCAGCTGCACCCCGAGCCGAGCCGGGGCGCCCAGAGCCCGAGGCCGTCCTTCCGCTCGGCCGCCGGCCCTGCTCCTCCTCGCACGCCGACGACTCCCTTAGAGTGGCTTGTCCCGTGCTGCCGCCGGCCTAACCCTGTGGTCTGTGTCGTTCTCTCTCCCTTGCAGGGTCTGCCTTGAAGCGTCTCTGTCTAGGCAAAGAGCACAGCAGTCGTAATTATCAGTTTTTCACTCGTCCGCTCTCCATCGCATGGGCTTTCTGTGGCTAGTGGCCCTCGGCTTCCGCGGCCGCCTGCAACCCAGGGCCGGCGGGCGGCAGGCGTGGGCCTGCACTGTGCCCGCCCTCCGTGGGCACCACTCACCACTGCCTGGCAGGGCAGCCCCCGGCGGTGCCCCTTTCATCTCTGTGGGTCTGAGTGTGCATTCCGGTCAGTTCGCCTCTAAAGCTGCCTCCGGACATCACACGTACCCATCGCTGATTGGCTCCTTTTCCAAACCTAGGAAGGAGGGCTCCCGTGGGTGCTCAGGAGGGTGCCAGGGCGGGGGCGGGCAGAGCGGGACCACCTGTCTGGCCGCCCGCCGCTCATCTCGTGCCTTTTTCATTTTTTTATTTTCTGGCTGAAACATTCATGTAGACATAGCTCCCGTGTGTAGCCTCTCATTACTAACGCTCAACTGTTGTGTCTGCTTTTTTGTTGCTCGCCACCGAAGTAGACTACACTTTGCAATGGCTTGTTTGAAGAGATGGTCATTGGGTTACTTTTAAATGCGTAACTTAAAAGAGTGGCCAATTCAAAATTGCCAACCAGAAATTCTGTGTTGAAGAAAGGGAGGGGCACCATTTTTTAAAAGTGAAACGTCCTGTTTTGGTCGTTGAAAACACACCTTTTAGTGGCGTGGGCAGTGCCCTGCCTTTGCCAGCTCTGAGCCGCGGTCAGGCCCCACAGCCTTACTCCTGCTCCAGCTGTGGGGCAGCCTCAGGCGGCGCCTAGATGGCGGGCCCATGGCAGGTGGAAGGCTCTAGGTCTGTGCCCTTTATCAGCACCGCCCCCAGTGCTCTGGCCAGCAGAGGTGCAACTTCTGTGTCTTAAATTCAAACACCACGCCACTGAGTCCCAGCAGTGCCAGCGACCCGCCCACACACAGCTGTGTGCCCCGAGCAGCCCCTCGGCGTCCTCACGTCGGAGCTGAGCGTGCTGGCCAGACGGTTGCCTCCCATCCGCACCAGGAGGTTCCTTCCCGAGCCCTCCCGGGTCTGGCAGGCCGAGCAGCGTGGGCACAGAGTGGATGCTGCAGCGGCCCTGTCGCCCGCCTGGCTGAGGAGGGGTGATGCCCAGGCCCCCCGGCCTGCTGAGTGCTTCACACGCCCACGGCGGGCACGCGGGTCCCTAATCAGACCATCTCCTGAAGCAAGGCGTTGCCTGGCCTGTGCGAGACCATTGAGCGTGCAGCCGGCCCGTCGCCGTGGTGAGGCCGCCAACGCTGCCTGTGTGCCTCCCCAGGGTCCTCCACCAGCAGCCTGGCCCCGGGCCCCGAGCCGGGCGCCCCCGCCCCGCACGCCCAGGCGCAGGTGAACAACAGCAACAACAAGAAGGGCACCTTCACGGACGACCTGCACAGGCTGGTGGACCAGTGGGCCAGCCAGGCGGCCGGGGCCCCGCCGCTGAAGCCGTCGCTGAACCAGCTGAAGCAGACGCAGAAGCTGCAGGACATGGAGGTGGCCGCCAGCTGGCCCCCAGCCTCCAGCGAGGTTCGGGCTGTAAGTGGGGCGCGGCGGGGTCAGAGGACAGCATGGGAGCTGGGCTGTGACCTCAGGTTTCAGCAGAGCAGCAGCTGGGTACATGTAGGTGGCCTGGGTACATGTAGGTGGTGCCCCGGGTCTGGTGAAATCAGGCCAGGGATGTAGGGGGCCTGCATACTGCCCTCAGGGGCACCTTGTTGGGCTCGGGTACGGGGGGCAGAAGCCAGGAGCTGTTGTCTGACCGTGTGGCTGTGAGTCTGCACCCGCAGAGGGTGCTCCCGGTCCAGGGTTCCAGAGGGATTATGCGAGGCGTGCTCTCCCGAGGTGTTTGCAGAGTTCGCGGGTGAGGCCGTCTGGTCTCAGAGTTCTTTTTTGAGTGTGGGCTGCCCTCCTGTGACCTTTTCTTTTGAGAAATGCCAGCACCTGGGGCAGGTCAGCGTTCTGCAGGGCTCTCAGTGCCTCGCCTGCACGCTGTGGCTGACCTTTGCTACTTTGTCCCAGCCTCCATCCCGGGAGGGTAAGGTTTCGCTAATGGGTTCCATTTCTTTTATAGTTTTAGAACAGTGTGGAGTTTCTCTTTCTGTTAAACTCTGCTTTTCTAGCAATTGGTACTTCTCTAATTTATCCAAGTTTTCACATTAATTGTCATTAAAGTTCATGACCTGCCCATGCGAAGCAGCTGGGCACCCCAATAGGGTCTGTGAACGGCATTTGCCTTTTCAAGCAACTCTTCTTGGCTCTGATATTCTTTATTGTGTGTTTCATGGAGTTCTTCCTTTTAGTCTTTCTTTCCTTCTGTCTGTGGGTTGCCATTTTTGTACAGGAAGTTTGTTGCGATGTGCAGATCCTATTTCCCCTTGGAGCACAGGCTTCAGCTGCGGAATTCCCAAGTTTCTGTTACGTAGCATTTTCTTTGACCTTCAGCTCAAAATATTTGCAATTTAATTTTAAATACTTTATTAATTTCCTCGTGATCTTTGTATTGACCGTTTGTTTATTTTTTGTTGTTTGGTTTTTTGTTTTGTTTTGTTTTGTCTAATTGAACTGATTAGAACAAACTGAGTTTTCAGTTTGTTAAACGTTGCGGGACTGGCTGTCAGGCTTGGTCACACCGCACGGAGGATGGCGGCCGCCCCTTCCTTCCCTCCAATGGCCCTCCCCGCCTGAGCCTCGCTCCCTCCTCTCTGGGGCCGCAGCCCCGCTGGCAGGCACACCGCCTCTGGGCTGACTCCTCGTGGCCCTTCTCCCTGACTCTGCGGCACAGCTGAGCCCCCCGTGCAGCCCCAGGCCCTGCGAGCCCACCTGGACCGGCGTCCGCTCCACGGCTGGCCCCACGCTGCTCAGCCGGGCCATGCCTTGGCCTCCCCCGGCTGCTCACCAGTGGCTTTGTGTGTTGGTTTGTTCATTATTTTTATGAATATCTAAGTAACAACTTACCGATTTAATCCTGCTGAGTGAGGTTCCGTAGCATTCAGAACATTCACAATGTTGTACAGTCATCGCCCTGTCCACATTAGACCATGCTCACTGTCCCAGGCTGAGGGGCGCCTCAGACTGCCTGCCCCGGGCCTGGCTGCCCCCGTAGCTCCTCTGCGTCCGGCTCCCGCAGGCAGGGCACGGCTGGCGCCTCTGGAAGTGCAGTCACGTGGCCTTTGCCCTTCCCTCCGGCTTTCTGCACTTCATGGTATTCGTGTGGTAGCATGTTTTAGAACTTCATTCTTCCCCCTAATTTTTAAAGATTGTGTAAAATACATATAACAAAATTTGCCATCCTAATCATTTTAAGTGCCAGTTCATTGGCATTGAGTACATTAACACTGTTGTTCAACCATCACCACCATCCATCTCCAGAACTGGTTTATCTTGCACCACTGAAATTCTGTGCCATTGAAAACACCTCCCTACAGAAGCTCCGCCCCCGGCCACCACCGCTGCCTCCTGCCTTTATGACTCTGACTCTCTAGGTCAGGTCCCCATGTGAGTGGAATCACACAGTATTTGTCATTTCGTACCTGGCTTATTTCACCTTGCATAATGCTCTCATGGTTCACCCGTATTGTAGGCTGTGGCAGAATGTCCTTCCTTTTCAAGGCTGGATAACATTCCATATACCACATTTTGTTTATTCACTGATCCACCCATGGATGGTTGGGTTGCTTCTGCCTTTTAGCTGTTCTGAATAATGCTGCTGTGAACGTGTTTGAGACCCTGCTGTGAGTTCTTCCATCCATATACTCAGCAGTGGAATCACTAGATCACATGGTAATTCTGTTTTTAATTTTTTAAGGAATTGCCAAATTGTTTTTTACGGTGGGTTGAACCATTTTATGTTCCCACCATCATACACAGAGGTTCCAGTTTCTCCTCATTTTTGTCAATACTTTCTATTGTTGTCTTCTTTTTAAAATAGGTGTAGTATCTCATTGTAGCTTTAATTTGCATTTCTGTAGTGATTAGTGATGTTGAAATGTTTTCATTTGCTTATTGGCCCTTTGTATGTCTTCTTTGAAAAAATAACATTTCAAGTCCTCTACCCATTTTAAAATAGCATTGCTTTCTTGTTGAGTTTTAGGAGTTCTGTATTCTGGATATTTATACCTTACCAGACATATGGTTTGCAAATATTTTGTGTCATTGTGTGGGTTGCTTTTTTATCCTGTGGATAGTGCCTTTTGATACACAAAAGTTTTTAATTTTCATGAAGACCAATTTATCTATTTTTTTTTTCTTTTGTTGCCTCTGTCTTTGGTGTCGTAGCCAAGAAATCATTGCCAAATCCAAAGTCATGAAGATTCCCCTATGATTCCTTCTCAGAGTTTAATCATCCATGTGCTATTCAGATTTTGGCTCTTACATTTATCCCTTTAATCTATTCTTTTGCATATGGATGTCCAGTTTTCCTACAATATTTGTTGAAAAGACTGTCCTTTCTCCATTGAATGGAGTTGGCACCCTTGCTAAAAGTCAGTTGACCAAATGTCTCTATTCTATTCCATTGGTCTCTATGTCTGTCCTTTTGCTAGTATCATACTTTCTGTAGCTTTATGGTAAGCTTTGAAACCAGCCAGTGTAAGTCCTTCAACTTTGTGTTTCTTGGTTATTGGCCATCCCTCAAGAATCCTAATGGTGTGTGTGTGTGTGTGTGTGTGTGTGTGTGTGTGTACATGCGCGCATGCTTTTAGGATGACTTTTTTTTTTTTAATAATGCCATTGAGATTTTAATAGTGATTGCATTAAATCTGTATATCACTTTGGGTAGTATTAACATATTAATAATACTAAGTCTTTCAATCCATAAACATTGCATGCCTTATTTGTGTCTTTCTTAATTTCTTTTTGTAATTTTTTTTAGTTTTCAGTGTCTTACTCTTTCAACTCTTTATATTTACTCCTATTCTTATCTATACTATTGTGAGTATATTGTGTTCTTAATTTATTTTTTAGATTACTCATCATTCATGCATGGAAACTTTGAAACTTTGCTAAATTTATGAATTAGTTCTAACAGGTTTTTTGGTGGATTTTTAGTGCCATCTACATAAAAGATCATGTCACCTCTGCATAGAGATAATTTTACTTTTCATTTCTAATATTGTTGCCTTTTACTTATTTTTTTTCTTGCCTAATTTCTCTGGCTAGACCTTCTAATGCTGTATTAAATAGAAGTGGCAAAAGCAAATATCCTTGTCTTGTTTCTAATTTTAAATCTTTTACCATTGAATATGATATTATTTGTGTGTGTTTTAGATATGTATATCAGGCCTCTATGATATTGAGGAAGTGCATTCTGTTTCTAGTTTCTTGAGTGCTTTTATTATGAAAAAGTTAATTTTGTCAAATGCTTTTGCTGCATTAATTATGAATGGTATATCACATTGATTTTCATATGTTAAACCAACCTTGCATTCCTGGGATAAAACCCAGCTAGTCATGGTGTATACTCCTTCTAATATGCTCCTGAATTCATTTTGCTAATATATATATTTTCTTTTTTCTGACTAATATTTTATTGAAGTTTTTGCCATCAATATTCATCAGGAGTATTAATCTGTAATTTTCTTGTTTTGTGTTTATCTGGTTTTGGTATCAGGGTAATGCTGGCCACATAGATTGAGTTAGGAAGTGTTCCCACCTCTTCAACTTTTAAGAAGAGATTAAGAAAGATTTTGTATTCTTTCTCTTTTAAACGGTGGAATTCACCAGTGAAGTCATCTAGTCCTGGGCTTTTCTTTTTTGAGAGGTTTTTGATTACTGATTCAATTTCACTATTGCTATAGGCCTATTCAGATTTTCTGTTTCTTCTAAGGTGAGTTATGGTAAAAGAAATCTTTTTGTTTTATGTGAGTTATCCAGCTGGTAGCTAAAACTTTGTCAATTTGTTCATCTTTTCAAAGAATTAATTTTGGTTTCATTGATTTTTCTCTATTGTTTTTATATTCTTTGTTTTGTTTATCTTTATTATAATATATAATTAGTTTATTAATTTAAGATCTTCTATTTTTTAATACAGGATTTACAGCTATAAATTTTCCTCTGAGAATTTCTTTCTCTTTGTCTGAAATATAGATGTGTTGTCTCTTCATTTGTCCCAAGGTACTTTCTAATTTTCCTAACTCTGGTTAAGAGTAAACAACTAAATTTGTTGTTTAATTTCTGCACATGTGTCAGTCTTCTAGTGTTTTTTTGTTATTGATTTCTAATTTCATTAATTGTGTTAGAAAAGATACTTTGTATAATTTTAATCTTTTAAAATGGATTAAGACTTGTTTCATAGCTTACTATATATCCTATTTTGGAGAATCATCCATGTGCTATTGAAAAGAAATTATATTCTAGCCCAGCTTGTGTTGCTTAGTGATTGAACATCAACTATGAACCAGGAGGTCACGGTTTAATTCCTGGTCAGGGCATATGGCCAGGTGATGGGCTTGATCCGCCAGTATGGGGCGTGCAGGAAGCAGCCTATCAATGATTCTCTCTCATCATTGATGTTTCTATCTCTCTATTCCTCTCCCTTTCTCTTTTCA